AAGCAGTGGTAGGGGGACAGGGAGTGGAGATCAGGCAGTGGGGGAGGAGGCATTGTGGAGGCAGTGGGGGGCAGGCGGATTGCTCCCTGCCAGTTGGGTTCCCCCCTGGCCACTTGTTCCCCTTGTGCCTGCCCCCCGCCCCCCACCCCAGCAGCCTTAGACCCCTGCCTCCATCTCCCATCTACCCCCATGCTGCTTCTATATTCCCTCTCCCCCCCTTCCTCCCGCCGCCCACTGCTATAGGGATGGGCTTGGGCTATGTTCCATTTCCTGGATTGCAGCAGGAACAAAGCCTATGGCACTAGAGCAAGGGTAAGCTGGGGAGAGGAGGAATAAGGGGAGGGTTGGGCCTGATGCTGCAGAGGTGCAGAAGTGGTGCAAGGGAGGGGCGGGGAAGGGCTAGCAGTAGTTTTAGCTGTGGTCCCCACCCAGAGCAGAAGCCGCAGTCAGAGCCAGAGCTACAGCAGCTGCCTGCCCCCTGCTACCTCATATTTCATTCCGAGGTAAGTGACTCACTGCCCCCCAAACACACATACAAGGTTAAATGGGAGAAAAAGGCTTGTCCTGGAATCAAGTAAATATGGTATTTCACACAGATGTTCAGGGACTGAATTACATATTGCGTTAACAATATAGCAATTTTTTACAGTTGAATTTATGATTATTGTTACAATGGCCAATTCTGGACAATTTCTACCACAGCAAAATTAACTGAAATTGAGAATTAAATTAAAATTCTAAAAGACTATATTCAAACTAGGAGATAGTTGTGGCAGTGTCACTGCAAAGGTCAGCTTACTTTGCTTACAAAACAAACATTCACAACTCATGACTAATGCCCGTTTCAAATGTGAAGACACCAATTTATAAAACACAGTGCAATCAGATTCACATGTGTATTCTCATGTGCTGGTATTTCACATCCACTTCAGTGTAAATGACTACACAAGGTGGGAAGGCCAGACAGAATCTCTCTTGAGTGTAGGCTCGCTGACAAAAAGAAAAGTCAAGTATGTGTACTGTACAAATTAAAATGAGGTCATTAGCTATTATGACAAACCTCCTCTCTTACCATGTCTTTTCTTTCACATTTTTCTTCCAGTTTTTAGCTCTGATTTGGCAAGGTACTTAGCAAGGGCATCAGTGGGATTCCTCACCTGCTCATTGCTGGGCATAGGTTTCAGAATTGTGTTGAATCAGGGTTTAGCCTTTGTTATACTTCACAAGCTATTCATTCACATACTATACTTTCTCTAATAAAAAGTGTCCTTTTGTCATGCTTCCTCCACCAGACCTTTTATTTCTATTCTCACTTCAATCAGCCTCTTCAGATTTAATTTGATTTAAAAAATGAAGCAGAAACTGTAAAAAATATTTCCAGTTTACTTTACTCAGAGGTACGATGAATTAAATTCAAACAGTGAGTGACCTATACTTCTTACCTGAAAGCACTGATAGAAAAGGGAGCTCGCTTTATTGGACGTTGTTTTTCAGTAGTTAAATTCGTTTGCTTCATCACTGTACATAAAACCAAAATTAAGTGAAATCCAAAAGCATTCAGGCTAGAGAGAGGTGAAGCATTTAAATACAGTGTATTATGCAGAAAAATGACACTGTTAGAATTGCCCAAAAGGAACTGCTGTCTCAAGTTAATATGTTCAGATAAGCACTTCAAAACATTTAGCCTCCAACTCTACTCATATTGCAATACAGAAATATTAGGACTTCCAAATACCATGGTAGTTAGCACGCTTTAGATGAGGGCTATCCAGCTGGTGATGCCTGAGAGGCATTCAGCCTCTAAGCTCTGTGGGGCTGGCAGAGCTGACTGGAGTGCAGCTGGCTCTGCCCGCCTCTCAACCGCGCTCCGATCGCCTCTGCCAGCCCCGTGGAGCTCAGCCCAGTGGCTGAAGGTGGGCAGAGATGGCACTGCACTCCACCTCCCACCACCGGGCTGAGTTCCACAGGGCTGTGAGCCGCTGGGAGCTGAGAAACTCTGTCCCCAGTGCTGGGAAACTCAGCCCAGCTGGGGGAAGCACTTCCCCCAGCCGAGCTGAGTTTCCCAGTGCTGGGTCCCAGGCGGCAGAAGCAGCTTCCTGTCATCCAGCAGGAAGATCAGGGGCTCACCTGCACCCTGGGGAGGGCTGCGGGGGCTCTGCCAGACTCCTCCCAGGGGTGCAGGCTCCCGATCTGCCTGCCAGATCACAGGATGCTGTTCCTGCTCCCCAGCTCCTGCTTGTCAGCAGCTTGAGGTGCAGTTTCCTAGAAACCCCTGCACCTACCTCCTTGAAACTTGGCTTCATGCTCTCAAAAGGGGCTACCATACCTCCAAGTTTCATCAGAATCAGGCATGAAATGACAAAGTTATAGGACGTTTTGTGCTTCCGCATTATAGCCTATGGGCGAAACATCAAAACAGCAAAATTGTTTTGACGAAACGGAACAGAACAGTGCATTTGAAACGAAACTCAAAACGAAATACTGTTCCATCAAAACGTCGAAACAGAAGTCAAAGCAGAACACTGCTGTTTTGCACAGCCCTATTACTGACCCTGTTTCCTTTTTAATGGTCTTGATGTTCCACTAATCAAGCTAGCCCTTTTTTCTCCAATTCTGCTCTGTTAGCTGCTCCTGATAATGTAGCTCCTATTTCACAGTCTTGGAGACTGTTTTTAACCCATTCCAATAAAGTTATATTTGCTTCTGTATCAATCTTAAACAGAATAATACAGCCCTAGGCCCCAAGCTTATTAGTAAAGCTTCTGGTTTCTTTTTGCTTGGAGAAAAATGTATATTGTGTTATATATGATGATGCACCTCATCATGCACACCTGCCTTTTCAAAATCCTATATCTGTCCATGAATATACTCATGTTCTAACAGTCCATCACTGTTTAGCCTCAGTACTGCTGAGCAGAAACACAATAAAGAAACTGTTTTATGCAGTACAGAATACCTGGGATCCCATAAGATCCTTTCAAGGATGCTGTGGGGTGCCAAGCCATGTTGGCACTGGTAAGTGTGCAGACATGATTCACAATATAAACCCACTAGTTTAAACACGAAATAAGAATGAGTGTTAAAAACCTTCTGACCTATTATGATTTTTCTCAGTTCTTTGCAACAGAAGAATTGTTTTATTTTTACAAAGTAAAAAACCAGTGAAAGCTAAGAGCTGGCAGTTTCCAAGGAGTGACTTGAGTCTAAGAAGGCTGAGAACCACAGGTATAGAACATCCCTTCCCCTGAGCCTGATGGCAAGACTTTCCAGAATTTAACATGAAATACTACATAAAACCATAGGTGCAATGGTTGGAAATACTCAAAGAGAAGTTATTACAGTGCAATTGTTAAAAAGGTCAAATGCATTTACAATTTAAAATGTTGTGGTAACTATAGTGAAAACTAGTGGTAACCTGTAATAAAGGGTATGCACAGTATAAATGAGATTTTGACCTAAAATAGTTTTCCAGTAAATTGTATCTGGTAATACTCTGATTCTTAAAGCAGAATTTGATTGTTGCATTGCCTGCTAGTTGAATTAGATCATCAATATTTCACAAAAAGCTTCCATTATGTATTAGTACTATTCAAACACTTTCTGAAATTGGCAGAAATCTTTTTGCAACACAGTTTGTGGGGATATTTAAAAGAAAACAAGCTGTGTGCTCTTTTCAGTGACTGTATGATAAAGCATCTCTTATACAATGAAAGGGTCAGGACAAACACTAGAGGCTTCTGAACAAAGCATACTACATACATTCTTTTGGCTAGAAAACTGAACCACACAACTGTCTCCCTAAAGCTTCACATGTATGTTCATGTAAGAAAGGCCTTCTCAAGCCTGACTCCTTTGCACTACCAAACAAGAACTGGTTAAATTCTGGTTAATTCTTGTCACAGGACACTTACAATTAATTTATTTTTAGAAAAGACATACCTGAAAAGTCTAACCTGTAGTTAAATTTTGCAGTAGTAAAACAAAGAGAGCCATGTGGATTCATTCTGAAGCTCCTTTCAATGTCTTCACTGCTAACTGAACATTGAGTGTTTGAGTCAGTCTTCAAAACAAACCAGAAAGCACAAGTTTAAATGTTTAAGTATAGCCAGTTTGATCATGTGGAAATTATCATAGCCAATATCCCCATGTATAGTTACCTGAAACATATGCCATTTACCACATTCAGCCAAATAAAACCAACCCCACTGGGTATCAGTTGTATCCATGTCCTCCACAGCATTCTCCATCTTGGTACAGAATTCATCTGCTGCCCCTTGAAGAATCTCCTGAAATGTCCATAAGAAACAGCTTCTGTGAAAAACGCATTATTTGTGGAAACCCATAATTTCAGAAGCACAACTGAAAAAAAAAGATCAAGACAAATTCAGCATAAAATGCTTATTTAAAAAGAAAGTTGGGTAATAACTTTACAAAGGCAGATCCCAGATACCCTCACAACACTGCTACCTCTTAGTAAATACTGCTCCATAAATTTACCAGATTAATAGGGGTGTGGTGAAAGAACGGTTAAAACATCCCATTATGGATTCAGAGGTGTGAGCTCCAGCCTGGCTCTGGATTTATTATAAAAGCTGCCCCCAGCCAATCTATCTGTAAAGGCTGAGTCAAAGGTGGCCAGATGTGATGGCCAAAGGTGGACACCCTTTCCTTTGTGCTGTCGGCTACCGACACTGGAATGCTTTAATTATGCTAACTCAGTGAGCAGCTAGGCTCAGGATGGCTATTTGACTGTATGCTCACTTAAACCCTTCCCATGAGAATCCTCTCTCAAATATACGAAAGAAACAAAACCTTGCAGCAAGCTCTAACAGACAACAGATCCAGGCTTTCTGAGACTAAGGGGAGACAATGAGAGTTCCACAATGGAAGGCTCTGCCATTAGGCCAGTCCCTATGTAGCCAGGGGAGCTCAAACACTTCCACTGCTTTCAAGTCCTGCCCAAACAAGGAGAAAGGTAACCAAAACCAGCTTTTTACATTTCACTGGGTAAAACAGGAACTAGCGCCAATCATGGAACAAAGATGTAACAGCCATCTGAAAGTCTTCCAAGTTTGATCTTAACAGAGACTCTTAAAATAATCCAGGCTTGAGAGACAGGTAGCTGCAGCAAACTGTGCATCCAAACTAAAGTTTACAGCATGAAAAAGTCTTGTGGGAAACTGCTGCTACTGGGCAGCCAAAACCATACAGAAGTTCATTCTTGTGGCTCTTTTGATAAAGTTGCCAAAAAAAAAACAAAACCCAATGTGTTACCAATTCTAAATGCTGATTTAACTATTGAGAACAATTTTAAAATGCAGCTTGACACTTATCAAAAGTGAAAGTTATTTAGCAATCAGCAAACTGTCATTCAGAATACTCTAATAAAAAGATTAAAAATTAAGAATGTGAATAAATGTATGCTGAAATATATAATTCTTAAAAACCTGTGTATAGAAAAAGTATACCTCTAGTTAGCAAAAAGTAACATATTTAGCATACAGTGAACTAAATCAAATAAACTTTTTTTTTTTTTTTTTTTTAAACAGAATCAGAGAAGAATGCAACCTTATTTAGGAAAACAACTAAGAAATGTAAATGCAAATTAAGAATAAATTTGATTAAGATGGACAAGGTTTCCCACTTGCTGATTTCCCTATGATTAGCTGCTGCCCACCCAGTTACATATCTCCCTCCCACAAGCAGAGTCCAAGACCCACTTTTCTAAATCTTGGCCCCCTTCCTCTGGTTCAGAGAAGTCTGTGTTGGTATGCAAAACTTCAAGTTTTGAGGGGGCTCCAAGGAGGGGGCTCCAAGGAGATAATGCCGAAGGTCTAAGGTGCCCACCTTATGGTGAGGCACTCCTCAATTATGGAATAGTTTTGTTCTCATGGGCAAAGCTTTTTGTCTTAAATACAGGACCATGTGTTCTCCGTGCCCAAAGCTCGGAGAGAGAACTTCTCCAAGGCCTTGCTCTGAAGCAGCTGTCTGTAAAATAAATTTCTGACTTGGGTCACAGTCAATACTGCAGCACCACAGTAGTATAAAGTATCTGTTTTATTTTCTGAAGACACCAACACATGCTGGAGACCACTGCACTGCTCTGGGTGTTGTCTTGTATAGCTCATCGGTTAGTGGGGTAGTAATCGATGAGAACTGCAGGATAAAGTCTTGATAATAACTTGCCAATCCAAGAAAAGACTTTAGCTACTTTTTGGATTTGATACAGGGAACTCTACCAAGGCCTTTACTTTATCAAAAAGGGGTCTAAACTCCCCATTGCCTAGCACTTACCCCAAATATCTGGCTTCTGTACAGCTCAGTCAGCATTTTGCTGGGTACAACATTAGGCCTGTGGCCCAGAATGACTGCCAACATGCTGCAGATTTTCCCACTACCACACTTGAGATATGCTTCACCATACTCTTGGTGCAGCTGATACATCTTAATCCATTATAGGCTGGAATGTGGCTGAGGCACCAAGGAGATCAAAGGGGAAGGCTCTAAACTGGAAGAACCTCCAAGGTCTGGTGAATGCTATTAGTTCTCACAATTCCAAAGCAAGGAAGATTTGCTAGTACCTTTGTGGCCTTCCCCAGCTATTGTAACAATTCAGCAACACAACACGGGGCACAAAGTATGCCTCAGCTTATGGAAATCAATGCAAAACCAGAGCATCTTGTCCACTTTGGGAACCAATACGATCAGACTACACCATTCATTTGACAATTCTTCAAGCATCCACACGTGGCATATTCTGTACTTCCTTTCTTACCATTTCTGATACTTGCTCTGATACTCAGGAGAACCCCTTTTGGATGGGACACCCTGGTTTCAGGACAATATGATGACTAATTAGGGTGCTAACTCCCTGGTCAGGTTGTAAATGCTTCTGGAAAGTCCTCCAGTAGGGACCTTGCCTCTTTCTGATGAGCTGTGGACTGGTTTTGCCCACAGAGCTGCCTCAGTGGTTGGGAGTCAAACTGTTTTCTGCATTTTCTGAATGTGCTTTTAAGGCTCACCAGTTTCAGATATGGTTTACGCAGTACATCTGGGACCTGTCCCATCTCCCTTCCAGATGAACTTCATAATCTACCACTCCATCTCATCTTATGATCTCAGAGGGAAGGTCCCTACCATTTAGTAAGCACTTTGTTTTCTAACAAGAGGAGCAATCCCCAGTCCCAAGTCGATACACGCAGAGTCATGCATTCTTATAACAGTGTTGTTCTTGAGTCCGGTGCATAGTCCTGGGATTCTTCTGGGTGAATGCTCCCACTAGATTCAGCTGTCCCTGTAGTCAAAGTACATACTGTATGACATTATGACACCTCATGCCCTGCTTCTGCTAGGTCTTGTGAAAGCAGTCCAAAATGCCTCAGAGTTGTCTCCTGTGCAGGAGTTCAAAAGGAGGGATTCCCAATGAGGATTGGGGAATCTCATGGATAGCAAATAAGGTAGGAATGTATCCTATTTCCGAGGTCCTTGTGCCACAAACTTCCTCAACATCCCCTTCAAAGTCCAATTTAATTTTTCCACCAGACCATCCATCTGGGGATGGTAGCCAGAGGTCCTGATAGGGTGGACTGTTAAAAAGAGTCCATACTTCTTGTAGCACTGAGACAAACACCATAGTTTCTGCAGACCTAAACACAAAAATATTTTTAATAGCTATGTGGCCACTGTTTGGGCCAAGGCGTTACAGACAGCTACTACTGCTGCCTACTGTGCAGTGTAATCCATGAGCACAAAGATTAAATGACACCTAATTGCGTTTGGTTCCAACAGCTCTAACTAGGTCTTTGCCAAACCATTCAAAGGGAGTACCCACCAAGGGCAGAGGCACCAATTCCTGGGGCATGATGCCACCAACTGGCACTCAGTGCAGGACTAGCAGTGGTCTTTAATATCCTGATAAATCCTGGGTCAAAAGAACCTGGCAAGTACTCTATCTTCATCTCCATCAATGATTTAGATGATGGGATTGAGCATACATTTAGCAAATTTGAAGATGATGCCAAGTTGCGAGGAGCTGGAAACACTTTGGAGGGTAGGGCTAGGATCCAGAATGACCTGGACAGACTGGAAAAAATGGTCTGCAATCAAATCAAGGAAAGTGATTCTTCCACGCTGTTCAGTGCTGGTGAGGCCTCACTTGGAGTACTGTGTCCAGTTTTGGACCCCATGCTGCAAGAAGGACAGATTAGAAAGTGTTCAGCAGAGAGCAGCAAAAATGATTAGGGGCCTGAGTTATGTTTAGAAGTAAGACTTATAAGGAAAGGCTGACAGAGTTAGGGTTATTCAGCTTGGAGAAGAGAAGCCTGAGGAGGATTTGATAACAGTCTTAATATACCTGAAGGACAATTCTAGAGAAGATGGAGATGGGCTTTTTTTATGGTGGCCATAAAGGACAGGACTAGAAGCGATGGCCTCAAATTGCAGTAAGGGAAATTTAGGTTGGAGATTAGGAGGAACATTCTGACTGTAAGGGTGGTCAAGCACTGCAACAGGCTACCTAGACAAGGTGTGGAATCTCCATCCTTGGAAGTTTTCAAGACCAGGTTGGACAGACACTTGGCTGGGATGGTTTAGTAAGGGATGATCCTACCTTGAGCAGGAGCTTGACTAGATGACCTTATGAAATCCCCTCCAGTCTTACTTTCCCATGATCCTACAGAGTAGGTGGCAGAGCACAGCAATGGCTCCAGCATCTTGTTAGGGACCCTTACCTTCAAAATCCCCCAGCAATTCATCCTATCCCTTTTCTTCTTCAATATCCTCATGAGGCCACTACAGAATTGACAAGATGATACCAATTCTGCTACTAACAGTAACCAATGACCCCAGATGCGTAGCTTAATTTTTTCCAAACATAATCAAGACTACCCCAAGGCTACCACAATATGCTTCCGACAGTGGTACTCCACCCTTGGCTTACAGATAACAGGTTGGATGCCAGATTCTTCAACACTGCTCATGGCCATTTACAATTTAAAAGTAAAGAAGGCTGACAAGGATTGCTAAGTATGGGTTGTCCACAGCTACTTTACTTGCACAGTATTGTTGGACAGGGGACATCAGATGTTGAGAAACACTGGATTACAGGGTGGAATGAATTTGAGCTAGCAATCACAGCAAAACCCTGATTTCCATGGTTGTTGATGGGTTCAGAACCAGCTACAATTTTAACCACATCTTCAAATATACTCCTTCAGACACCTGCATTCCTTTGACAGGATACTGGTCACAAAATACAGGGGGGAAAAAAATCAAAGGAGTAAAGTATCCTTAGCTAAGATTATAGTGATACAATTATAAAATAATTTCCAGTGGTTTTCAAACTAAACTAATACACAGTCACCTAGACCCTCCTCTTAGAGAAAGCTTTCCTACCAAAAATCAAAACAGCCAAATCAATAACCAGCTGATTGTCACAACCCAAAGGGTGTGATTTTTGTTTTTGTGTGCTTCGGCACTGCTAAATTGTTCCCGCTAAATTAGAGCTTCTTTGCACGGTGGAGTTTTCTGCTGCAAAAGAGAACCCTGGTGCAAGTGAGAATTTCCCGCCAATTTGAAGCTTTCTTTGCAGGGTGCATTTCTTTGTTGCAGCACAGAAATGCTCGTTGCAAAGAGTTCCTGCCATTTGTATGCTAATTCGAGCCCCGTTATTGGCCAGTTCTAAATTATTCACACGTGGCGGCTAGTGATTGGCTTGCTAGCCGTATAAAAGGCTTGAGTGGTTTCTGCCCAAGTTGGAGGACTCCATGAACACTGGGAGGAGGAGACTTCATGCTGTGTGAAGATCTCTAAGCGCTGCGGATCCTTACGGACCCAACGCATTTCAAGCAGGCAACAGAGGTCTGATCAGCCTCTGGCCTCTCCCCGTCGCCGATAGATTCCTAGACGTATCCCTTCCTGCGCGCAAAAGAACCGGACCCACGAAGCCTAGCAAACTTCGTGTGAGTTTATTCAGAGCTCTTTCGGACGAGTACTTTCTTCGGTTGACACGACGGGCTCGCGTGTTCAGAGCCTTCAGCCGGATTGGGCTAGAGTTCACGAGTTTAGAACTCTTGTCCGCTTCTCTTCTTTCCTGTCTGTAACCGCAACTCAAGCAAGTTTTCCAGCCTACACCACTGCCATCTCGGTGTAAGTAAACAATCTTTAAAACTACCGCTAAGCGTTTGTGCCTAATTCCAGCTCGTCGCCCGCCCTCTCCGATCCAGCGTGCCCGGGCTGCTGGCCACAGCCCGCGTGCAGTACGGAAAAGGGCTCGGGTTGCTCCCGGCCCGCACACTGATAAGAACCATTTATTGGGGAAGGGGGTGGATGGGATGGGGGGAAACCACGACTCCATGAAGTCCACCAGGGATCTTTCTGTACAGATCAAATCATGGCTGACAGGCTATACAGAAAGTTTCAGATGGTGAAGCAGTGGAAAATTTCCAAAGTTTCTCCAAAACTGGATCAGTTATTTTTTTTGGAAGTTTATCTTCAGAACCATATGGGACAACAGGTTTTTTTTAGATCAGAAAATCAAAAGACCTGACTTCAAATCCATCCTGATTGTGATAATATACTAAGCCAGGGCTGCCCAACTTTTGAATAGCTTGTGGGCTGCATGCTATCAGGCCACACACCACACAGCAGGTGCCCTACTCACTCCCACTGCATTGCATGGGTCTCACAGGACCACAAATCTTCAGTGCTGTTAGCCTCTTGGGTTCCACAAACTGCACGAAACCACTTTGCCCTTCAGGGACACGGGCAGGAAGCAGAAGCTAGCAGAGGGAGCGGGAGCCTGGAGGCCCCCATGAGAGCAAAAGGAACACTAGAGGGAAGGGTGCCTGCACTGAGAACCCAGAGGCCACAAATTAACCCTTCACAGGCTAGATATAGCCCACAAGCCGTAAGTTGGAAAGCCCTGTACTAAACAATCCCTGTTCTGTTTCTCTAAGCATACCTTACCATTTAAGCAATACTTAATTAGGCATGGCTTTGCAACATGCTAAGACTATAATGAAGATGAATGTAATTTGGAGCTGCCAGCACAGGTGCATCATGTCATGGTGGGGAGATATAATGTTTTTGTCCTCTGTACTGCTTTGGAATGCAAATAGTTTTAGGAGACGTTGACAAACTGAAGAGGATTCAGAGAAAGGCTTTGAAAAAAAAAAAATCTGAGGACCTGGGGGGATTGACTCATGAGGGAATGTGACTAGGTGACCACAGTAGCCAAAAGATGACAAATGGTGCAGGGGTGGGGGACACACGACATCATGATTATCTGTATTCTAGTGGCTCCAAAATATGCTATATACTGTCACATACATGCATGCTCCTAGCAATGAATTTAAACTCTAAGGGTGCCTATACATATGCAGGGAGGCTGCTGCAACACACTGTAATTACAGCATGTCTCCATTAATCGAGTTTGCTGCAGCATGGTAATTACTGCATTTCAGCAAACTCCAGCGTCACGTGTATCAGTGCCCTCATGCTGAAAAATGGTGGCTGGTGACTTTAAAGCTCATTTGACAAGCTGTAGTACACAGCATCCTGCTGCCATTTTTCAGCACGGGGATGCTGATACACGTAACACACTGGTCGCCTTAATTAGCACAACTCTGAGAGTGCCCCCTCCCGTCTTCTGAAGCACATATATAAATGCCCTAAGGTCTCAATACAAGGCGGATCCCAGCACGTGTTTTTTTTTCCATAGGGTTAAAACCTAGACCTAAAGCAACACTAACAGAACAGGCAAACTGCTCTTTGGACTCAGTAAAAATGGCATTCTACCTTTGCCTATTCATGGTACCCCCATAATTTTGCATCAAGTCTGCCCAGCGCACACCAAAGTAGATTTTGCTGATTATTCAAGTAAATATTAACTGGAGTTTGCAAGTTGCCAGGGGTCCCTTTCTCACTCAGAGACCCAAGCCAGCAACTGGAACTTATTGAGGTAGCTGGTAATGCAAAGGATAGAGGAGACATCAGGTCCCATCCCTTGGCCTGTGGCGGCAACTTTCACAACAGCACCTCAATCAGTCAAGGAAGCCTGGGCTTGTCTGAACATACATGGCAAACCTCAATCAGTCAAGGAAGCCTGGGCTTGTCTAAACATAAATGGCAACCCTGCCTCTTTATTTCTCTAGTTGCAAACCAGATGCAGCATAACAGCTGACCCTCGACTTGAGCCACCTCTCATGTCATGCGGGACAGGTGTCTGACTTGGACAGCTGACCTGCCACTCGCGTAGCTGTGGGCTGGGAAGGGCTGTGGCTATTCCTTATGCTCTTGCTGTGTGCCCTGTGTGCTCCCGTCTCATCTGCCTCGCTTCTTGGCTTTTGGTGGGCTAAGGATCAAGTTTAGTCACTGCACTGGTCCGATCCCCGAGCCAAAATGGATTTAAACAGCAGCGTACAGTGCAGAGTGCACCCCTGTTCAAGTACGGCCGGGACTCTTTAAGAGAGCCTCATAGTTAGCCTCCCACAGGTCAGTTTCCAGTGGGAGGATCTGGGTTACATGCCTACTTTATGGAAATAAGAGACTCCTCCCTAGCTCGCTCCTGCTGCCACTGGCTGAGGGCAAGGGGTACATCTGAACCACAAGCCTCCCAGCCTGGGCCTACACATAGGACGCCTGCAGAGAAGCCCCAGTGCTTACAAGCAGTGCTGACAAGCCCGGGGTGGGGGATACTTGCCGGTTGCAGGGGCACATACAGCGCTTGAACAACGCTTAAATCAGAAGGATTCAGATCGGATCTGACTAATTTGACCTGGGACACGAAATTTTTTCCAAAAAATACATTAAAAAGTAAATAAAAATCTGCCGCACAGCCAGGTCCTCACCCACCTCTGCCTCACACCACGGGGGTCCCAGGCCGGGCCCCTCCCCGCCTGCCACCACATGGGCACAGCTGGGGCCTCTCCTTTGGGAACCACTC